GATTTAACCATTTTAGCTTTTAAGTTTTGCTATTTTGAGCCGTTAGCCATTGTTTTAGTAAATTTACCTTTAAGCTACTGTTGGCTATACACTATAGCTACTACTGTTGAAGTAATAATAGCTTTTAGCTATGGATTTGCAAATTGTGGCTTTCATCTATAAATCTGTTTATTTTAACTTTCTCTAATCTATTGATAAAAATGTTTAGTTCCTCTTTCTAAAGCTGCTGCATTAATTTTAGTTTTATAGGCTGCAGTAGCTCAGTGGTCAGTAAAACAGTTGCCTAATCTATCATGCGAGTTTGCTGAAAGAACAAACATCAGTCATTTTAGCTTTTAGCTATGGTTTTGCTAATTTTAGTTTTATTTTTATTCCTGGAAGTGGTCATTAATGGTCACAGTTCTTGYATTTTTTTATTTTTATTTTAATTTTTTACATTTGAGCACATTTTATAATCATTTTTGAGGTAGACATGGATCTTTTCAGTGTAAAAGTTGCAGACTCCTGACTGTTTGTGTCTTTAACTCTGCAGCTCATGAAGTCTGTGACTGAAGAGTGTCCGGACATCACGCGCATCTACACCATTGGGAAAAGCTACACAGGTCTGAAACTGTACGTCATGGAGATATCAGACAACCCTGGCAAACATGAACTGGGTGAGCAGATTGAAAAATGAAATGTTTCTCCTTAATGCACTCAAGATGAGACAAAACCTCAAATGTAGACCAGAGTTCACTGAGTTTCTGAAGTTACCCTGAGCCTYTGTGTTTGTACAGCCTCAGTTCTGCAGCAGAACCACACAGGAAAGGCTGTTCTGTACAGGAGCTTTTTGTTCTTTTGTTTAAACAAACTCTTTGATTTCTTCTGATATTGTATCCAGACTTTTAGGTTTGTGTTTTAATGTGAGCGATTGCTTCATATGGGCTAAATAGTATAAATAAATCAAGGGTGAAAGAGTTTAGCCGGCTTTCTGCTCAGATAAATGTTAAAAACATGTTTGTTTGGTCCCAAAAGGAGAGGTTGAGAAATTTCAGCTTTTTAAAACCTGACCCAGCTGCCAAATCAAGAAGATAAGCAACAATGAAGACCTCTGAGTTGTGAAACTCTTATCAAGTGCAGCTCTGGGTCGTTGGTGTTTTTAGCTTCAGGAATGTCTGCTGTTAAGTCTGAACAGTGTTTGTGGTCCAAATCTTCTGATTTACATAAGGTTTAACTGAGGAAAGGAACGTGGACTTCCTGTGAAGAAAACAAAATTCAGAACTAGAAGAAATGTGTTTTTTTCCCCAAAAATGCAACTTAACGCTAAGTGACTGCTGAAACTGAGTTGTTCATATTAAAACTAACACAAGCTGAAATGAGTAAAATACCAGCTTATGGTTAAGAATAGCAGAACAGTAGCTAAATGCTAAAAGTAGCAAATCTTAGCTAAACAGAGCAAAAATCCAGAAAAGGATAAAATGAACAAAACACTAGCTGAAAGCCAAAAGTAGCTAAATGATAGCTAAAAACTAAGATTTTCACAATGCTAACTAAAATGTGTAAAAAAGATTTTGTAGGTCAAGTTAAAACAGTTTTGTAGAAGCTGAATGTCGCAAAACAGCACCTATAAACAACAAATCATTAGCCTAAATTAGCTAAAGGTTAACTAGAACAAGAGTAGYTAAAAGCTAAAAATGGCAAAAGGCTAGATAACATTATCAAAATGCTAGCTATAAGCTAAACAAAGAGAAACACTGGTAAAAGTGATTAAAACACTAACTAAATGCACTAAACAGAAAAAGGCTTGGCCAAAGAGAAAACTAGTAAAATATGAGCTAAAGCCTTATAACAAGAGCTGGAAGCAGAAAATGTTAGAAGAATGTTAGAAGTTGCAGTAGGCTAGCTAAAAAATAAAATAAAATAACTTTTAAAAATTTAAAAATAGAAACAGTGAGTTGAAACTAAAGTTTATGAAAGCTTTAACAAGATTTTTATGGGGAAAGTATTTGTAAATAAATTCAAATATTTTGAAAAGTATAAATGTTACCAAAACTAAAAGTGGTAGCATTCATAATGAGTTATACAATTTGATTTATGTATAACTAAAATAACAGAAATAGTATGTCCAAAAGAAAAAAAAAACATATGAAAAACAAAGAAACAGGAAATCAATAGTGAAGTGTGAACGTTGACTCTGCATTCACACAATGAGGCCTGTTACTCCTGAGATGAACTCATGAAATTTTTCTCATTTATTTCCTGCAGCTATGTCACACTTTAAAGTTTCCTTTTGGCAGGTGAGCCGGAGTTTCGCTACGTGGCGGGGATGCATGGAAACGAGGCCCTCGGCCGAGAGCTGGTCCTGAACCTCATGCAGTTCTTGTGCAAAGAATACAAAAAGGGCAACCAGCGAGTTGTACGGCTGGTCAAAGAGACCAGAATCCACCTCCTGCCCTCCATGAACCCTGATGGATATGAAGTAGCTTATGAGAAGGTGGGAAACGGTTCAGTAGGCTTATTGTGGACAAAGGTTCAGCCTTCGTTGGTTTTGTTTCTGATCTGTTGATCTGCTGCAGGGATCAGAGCTGGCTGGCTGGGCTGACGGACGATACAGTTTTGAAGGAATCGATCTGAATCACAACTTTCCAGATCTCAACAACATCATGTGGGACGCCCAAGAAAATGCAGCTGATAACTCCAAAGTCCCCAACCACTACATCGCCATCCCAGAATACTACACTCAGGAAGACGCCATGGTAAGGAGCAGCAGCTGTTTACATTCCAGCAAACCTTACTTTGGTGCCACCTGGTGCTTTTCTTTATCATGACAGTGTGTCAGAAACCAAATCTCTAAGAGCTGAAAATGAAAATTTCAGTTCTAAAACAAAAACACCTGACTTTACAACAAGCTTTTTTTTTTTTACATTTGCGAGCAATGACTGGCTGTAGGGATTTAAGAACTAGATTTTAGTTAAAGGTTTAAAGCACTTTGAGGAAAAAAGGACATCGAAAAATGTGATATGATTCCACGATGATCTCAGTGGTTCCAACCCTGGTGCTTAAGGAAAACTATCATACCTGTTATAGATGTGTCTTGCTTTGACACACCTGATTTGTATGAATGAGTGATTAACAAGAATTTAAAGACCTGCTGAAGAGCAGGGAAACAACTAAATGTGGGACAGTGTTCCCTGAGGGCCAGGATTGGACACCTCTGATCAAAGCTATCAAAATGTAGCTTAAAAATTGAGGAATCTGAAAATGTGCTCCGTTTAGTTTGACCAAATATGACTCGATCCCTGATTTGATGTGATGGTCACATGATATATAATTATTTTAGACAAGCTAAAATATGAGGTATATATTTATAAAATACTGCTTCATTAAAATTACCGTATTTTTCGGACTATAAGCCGCACCCCCAACATAAAAAAAAAAACAGTACACCCAAATTTGCCGTCAAAAAAGTGAATTCAACATCAAAACATAAAAAGCAAACCTTTAGGTATTAAAGTTTGGAGGAATACGGTTAATTTAACTGACCTTATTTTGGTAGTTTTCTTTAACAGTTTCTGGTCCAACAAAATGTCTCATTCATCTTCCTACGGCGCACTGAAAACATCAAAGTCCTCCTCTTCAGTGTCAGAGTTAAACAAGCTGAGAAAAGCTGCGTCACACAGCGGTATCTGTTCAGTGTTGCTTTCTGTGTCGCTGTCCTCCCCGGGTAATGCTGGCTCTGAAGCTGTGGTGGGAAAGCCCTCCCGCTCCAGCATACRTCACKGCWTGGGATTCCTTMCCCGGGGAGTGCAATGMGRRAAAAAAAAGTCMGCGGCTCTTCACTCGACGTTTWTCCACWAACTRGTCCTGGATTAAGCTCCAAAGTTTTTATCAGTCAGATTCCACCATGAAAAATGTCTGTTTTATCCCCTTTTATGAGTTTTTGGCCATTGACTATCTTTAAATCGCTGCTTCCTGGTGCAACAGTCGGCTCTGGAAGCGATCGCTTTTTTCTTTTTTTTTCCTTTCTTTTTTTTGAAGCGAGTGGTTGAAGCAAATGGAGCATAAGAGCCCCCTGGTGGCTGAAGAAAAAATCCATGTATAAGCCACACCGGTCGTCTATAAGCCGCATTGTTCAAAGTTCAGAAAAAAGTCGCGGCTTATAGTCCGAAAAATAAGGTATATCGTAATTTACAGATATCGCAATATGATACATTTTAAATTTTTTATAAGTGGCAGAAATGGGCTTCCATATATTTTGTTCATTTAAGTGATTTTAATTGACATTTATTCAGTTGAAATACATACTTAAAGGTATGTTGAGCAATGATCAATAAATGTTGAGCTGATATTACCTGGATTTTGAATTACCTCCATAGACTTAGCTTTACACGCATCTTCAAAAAATGGATGATTTATTTTTGACAATGAGATTAAATATTAGTTACATTGCTGCAGTTTTTCTTATTGTTTCTGTAGAAATGTAATTATCTTTTTTTGGTCCCTTCAGTGCTGGTACTCAGTTTTTATATTAATTATTTCTTATTTAAATTCTCAAGTTTAGTTGTTTTTAACTCTTTCTTGCTCAGGTTGCCCCAGAGACACGAGCCGTCATCAGCTGGATGCAGGATATTCCCTTCGTGCTTAGTGCCAACCTGCACGGCGGAGAGCTGGTCATCACGTACCCTTTCGACTGTACTCGGGACTGGGCCCCCCAGGAAGACACGCCCACCGCAGACGACGCCTTCTTCCGCTGGCTGGCCACCGTCTACGCCTCCACACATCTGGTGCTGGCCAACCCTGACCGCCGCATCTGCCACTACGAGGACTTCCAGTCGCACAACAACATCATCAACGGCGGAGCCTGGCACACAGTTCCCGGCAGTGAGTCACCTCCGACACCTGAGGGTTAAACACAAACATGTACAGAGAGCTCTTAAGTCTGTCTGTTAGCAAATATTTCGTGAAATTATCAAGAAACTTTCAGAAAGTCATCATGGGATGTACATCTGATTAACTTTTAGCGTCAACCCAATTCTAGATGGCCACCACAGATAAATGACCTGAAAAACACAACAATCGATTGTCAGTTTTACAGGTATTGTGCCAAACTCTGTAGTGGTAGTAACTGAGAGTAGTTATTCACACCACATACTCTAAGTGCATCATCTCATTGCTACGGCTGAGCACCGCAAATAAACAACAATTGAGCTCTACTTGGTTTTTCCTGCATAAAACAGTGTTGATCAACAGTGTAGATCAGAATCAGRATCAGAATCAGCTTTACTGGCCAAGTGTGTTGACACACACAAAGAATTTGTTTCTGGCTGATGTCTCTCCAATACACATACATACAATATACACAGTGATGAAGCACAATAGCATAATACATAAACATTATACTGTAGTTTGTGGATTATATACAAATAATATATACATTTTATACAGTAAGTGTGCTCCATGTCCTCTTAAAACACTGAAAAGTACTATGTGTACTAAATGTGAAACAATTAATACAAAAATATTATTAGAAGTAAAAGTAAGACAGTTTTACTCACCAGTTGTGGTGAGTAGCTACCATCTTGAATTCTGAACTCTCCCACTTTCCAACAGGTGAAACAGTGAAGTGTTCCAGTTTAAATCACAACTGTATGTACTGTAAATAGGAAATTCCCACTTCCTAGTACAACTGGGCAGCAAAAGTGTCAGGCAAAGATGCAGTGAAATTGAAATTTTGTATGGTAAATTTTGCTAGCTACTTTTGAACCCTCAGCACCTCYACCTAGTGGTGGGATGCTGTCATTTAACGGGTAAAATAATCGACATGCATTATGGGACATGTAGTTTATGGTCAATGCTGGTTTTATAGCAGCATACACTTATTTTAAAGGCACAGTGTGTAGGATTTTGTCAATTCTTTTAGCCGAAATTGAGATAATCACTAATGACAATAATAAAAAACATGTCTAATTATTGCAGACAAAGACCTTGTTTTATTATTTTTACCTTATAAAAAGCTGTTTATATCTCCATGGTCGTGGGTCGCCACTACAG